CAAATAGAAGATTTAAGTGGTGATCAAAGCCACAGTTTCCAGACTACTGCTTCAACCCCCCCCCCCCCACACACACACACACACAGAGATTTGTTTAAATAATGTCCCACCATGTTGGTGGAAATGTCCTGTTCTTTGATTTTTCTCTGTTCTCCTCAGTTTTCTGTTCTAGTACCCTCCGTCTGCTCAAAATGGATTTAAAAGCAGAATATCTCCACTGATGGTATCAGCAGGTTTCACTGCAGCTATTCCTGAGTTTGAGCTCATGTCAAATCTAGGTAGAGGTTGTACAAATGCGCTAAAATCAGCCGAATGTGTCCACAGGGCAGAAAATCGGGCACCCACAATTAAACCATTGAACCAGTTTGTCTTGATCACTGGTCGCACATCGGATCCGCTTAATGAATGTGTGTCGTTGGACGGTACTGCCCCATAGCGGTAAATATGTAAAAAACTGAGGATGAGTCGCTAAAAATCATCTAAAATTCCACTTAAAATTGTCAAAATAGTAGAAAAATACACAGAATAAACCAATACACAGTAAGCTTAGTAAATATGTAATTTGGATTGTTTATTAGGAGAAACTACTTTGTGGGGCAAATTATTATTACAGTATTATTATTTATGTGGGGCTCTGCTCCACCTGCCCCCTGGCCAACACTGAAAGCAGTCGTTACTTTCCACAGTCACCAATGTGCAGCTCAGGAAGTGAAGATTCAACACAATCTGCTTCTGGTGGTTTCCTTAGATAGATAACTTGTTAATTGTCATTTTAAAATGTACATGAATTGTTTGTACAATGCCCTTGTGAACTGGCACTATATCAGTAAACTGATTAATTGAAATGAACTGGTTATGCAAGGCACTGTCCTAAAGTTGGGTTATGTGGTTCTAAGTTGTACAATTTGTTTCCAAGTTTCAGCTGCCAGGACTTGGATAGACATCGAGTCTGTGGTGGAGCAGGTTGAACAGCTCTATGTGCAGTAACATTTGATCAGGATCACTGATTAACTGCATTTAGCCTTTAATCAGTCTTTTTATAATAATTACTTGTATATGCCATTAGTTAAAAAAACTGCTACAAAACTTTGTTGAATCAACTTTTACGTTAGTAAAACATTGCCTAAACCTGAATGCATAATGTTTTAATGTGGATCTTTTAATGAGAGAACATAACAACCCTGACTCAAAACAATCCTAATATTTCATCTTCACTGTCCACATCCTCTCTGAAGCCTCTAATTAAGCTGCTTATTCAAGTGAAACATCAGGTTCTCAAGAGGTCACATAATTTGGCAGCACCCCTGTGGTCACGTCTACAGTCCCTCAGTGTGAGTTTTCTCTGTACCCAACAAAAACCAAAGATCAAGGTAATGAAGAGTCACACGTCCTCTTCTATGTGGGGCTGCAGTCTGGTAATTCTGAAGATGGCTCGCTGTGGTGATCCCTGAAGAACGGTACAGTCAAAAAAACAACTTGTACTTAATATGAAACACTCCGGTTCCCCCGCTGACCCCATTCCTGCGTCGTTTTTCAAACAAGTTCTACCCACGATTGGACCCTCTGTTCTTACTATTGTAAATAGTAGTACTGTGACAAGTGTGTTTCCCGATGTTTTCAAACATGCAGTAGTTCATCCGTTAATTAAGAAACCTGGACTTGACCCTTCGACTTTCTCAAATTTCAGACCAATCTCAAAACTTCCCTTCCTGTCCAAAATCATGGAGAAAATAGTTTTCATTCAATTAAACAAGTTTTTGAATGAGAACAGAATCTTCGAGATTTTTCAATCCGGTTTTAAGCAACTCCACAGCACTGACACAGCATTAGTAAGGGTTTGTAACGATACTATGGTATCAAACGATTCTGGTCAATTTGTGGTACTTGTGCTCCTGGACCTTACTGCTGCTTTTGATACTGTTGACCACAGTATCCTTATATCATGGCTGGAATAGTGGGTTGGGATCACAGGTGCTGCATTAGAATGGTTCCGCTCATACCCGAGTGGCAGGAGTTTCTGTGTCAAGGTTGGTAAAAATATATCTGCCTCATTACCTCTTTCTTGTGAGTTCCCACAGGGTTCGATTCTTGGACCCCTTCTGTTCTCACTTTATTTGCTCCCACTGGGGTCCATCCTGAGGAAACATGGTCTTTCATTCCATTGCTATGCTGATGACTGCCAGATCTATCTGCCTGTGAAACCAGCAAGTGTTTGCTCCATTCACCCTCTGTTAAAATGTCTGGACGACATTAAGGCCTGGATGGCTTCAAATTTCTTAAATTTTAACAATGAGAAGACTGAAGTCATTGTTTTTAGCCCTAGCTCAACTGCCACCACTGATCCTGTCAATCTGGACTCTCTTCAGCCATATCTGAAGCAGTCTGGTAAAAATCTCAGGATGGTTTTAGGGAGCATTCACACCAGCCCTGTTTAGTCCGCTTTAATCGAACTCTAGCTTGTTTTCCTAGAAAGTCCGGTTCGTTTAGGGAGGGGTGAACGCGCCATCGAACTCTGTCATGGAACAAAAAGGCGAACTCTGGCCCGGGCTAAAACCTAGGTCTCGGTCCGGTAGAAGCGAACTCCAGCATGGTTCGAGTACAGTGTGAATGTAATCAGACCGAGCCCCGCTCCGCAGGACAAACAAACACGCATTTCTCTGACCTTATATGGAGCCGTCGGCTGCCTTGTGTGAAAAACAATATTCTCCATGGTCTTCTGTCTCATCTTCTGCTTATGCTAAGTCCATTTTTGAAAAATGACAAAATATAACTCCTAAAACTGCTAAAACTTGATGCCACTTCGTTTTTATTTACAGAAGAAGAAGAAGACATGTCTTCAGAGGTTTTTGTGTCGTTTCTTTCAATAGTTCTTGGTGCAGCGCCCCCACAGGCGAGCGGGGGAATAGGTTGGTTCAACAGGTTGACTCGACTGCACAGTGCAGTGTGAATGCAAACACACCAGCTCAAATGTAACAAAAGGTCATGAATATTGGTCCCGAACCGAACCGAGTCAACCGGACTATCTGGTGTGAAAACGACCTTAGACTGTGACTTCAAGTTTGACAAACAAATCAACTCTGTTCTGCAGAAAAGCTTCTTCCAACTCAGACAGGTAGCTAAGCTCAAGCCAGTGTTGTCCAGACCCGACCTTGAGAAACTAGTCCACGCCTTTGTCACGACCCGATTGGACTATTGCAATGCACTGTATGCTGGGGTCAGCCAGGCCTCCATCTCACGTCTTCAGCTCATCCAGAATGCTGCTGCTCGGCTTTTAACCGGAACTCGTAGGTCTGAACATATTACTCCAGTTCTGTCCTCACTTCGCTGGCTCCCTGTTCGTACGAGGATAGTCTTTAAAATTCTTCTGTTGACCTTCAAATGCCTAAATGGCCTCGCACTCCTTTACCTCTCTGAGCTTCTGGAACCTTACGTTCCCTCTCGGGCCCTGAGATAATCTGATCAGTTGCTTTTGGCTGTTCCAAAAACAAGACTGAAGCTCAGAGATCGGGCTTTTTCAGTCATGGGCCCCAAACTCTGGAACAACCTGCCCCCCAACATCAGGCAGGCCACCTCCCTTCCTCACTTCAAATCCCTGCTTAAAACACATTTGTTCTCTCAGGCATTTCATACAGTGTGAATTGATCTAGTTTTTTTTTATCTGTAACCCTATGTTTTAAATGCTTTTTATTAATTCTTCAGTTATTATTATTAGTGTATTGTATATATATATTTTTTTCTCTTTAATTTACTTATTGATTGTCGTTTTTGTTAAGCACTTTGACAACAGGTTCTGTTTTAAATGTGCTCTATAAATAAAGTTGACTTGACTAATATTATTGCAATAATTTCATTAAATCAGTTGCTTAATTTAACTTATTTTAAATGGGTATTTGCAAAACTGTAGCTTCAGCATCCTTTTAAAAAAATATCTACTTGTTTCATTTGATTTTACATTCATCATCAAGTAAAAGATCAGACCTTTCGAGCCTTTTCTCTACAGCTCCAACCACCTCCATGCTGGATGATGACCCCACCTACACTACCTGTCAGAATGTGGCTGGATGGTGGCAAATTTGGAAAACCTCCTTTGGTGTGAAGGCAGTCAAGACATTATCATGCTCTTAGGACCCACCAAATAAGCTTTTTCTTGCCATTATCCACATTCCCAAGAAATTCTCCTGCACCATCATCTCGGTCTATATGCCTGCCTTAGCATGAATATCTCAGACTGCATCAGGATGAAGCAATAGGCTAGAGGATCGTGTCACATGATACCACCACCATCGGTCAGCACTATGTTGTTTTTATGAACTTGTCATGTTCATGATAACAGGGTGGCCAGCACTGCTTTAAATTCTTAATAACCAAGTTAGTGTGTATGATAATCATTCCATGTTTTCACCAGCGAGCAGTTTATATGTGTGATTATTTTCAGTTCTTAAGAATACAGATATAGTTACAACAACATTTATTTGATACATTGAGCAAAGTCATATTGGACATATCAACTTTTGATTTATTATTCAAATATGAATGACCTCAGACTGAAATGCTTTAACAATTATTAGATCACATACCAGAAAAATCAGTGCAAGTATACAGACAACTGACATAACGCCATCTGTCAATCAACCCAGTAGGCTCGTCAGCAACTGACCAATCGGCGATTTCAATTTGTCCCAAAGTGAAACGACCCTTATCTGCAGGAGCTGCACTCCACAACAAGATTGTCTGAGTTTTGTATTACTAACACTTTGCGGTCAAAGGGATTTTGGGAAAAATCATCAAAAAATATGATTAAACATTATCAGTGGGGAACATGCAATTCAGACAGAGTTACCCTGAGTGTTTAGGATGTAATACAGTTTAAAACAGTTTTTCCAGACTCCATTTAGGTTTTGGAAATTGAATAACCTTTTTTTTTGTTCTTTAAATCTTATATCAAGATTAAAAATAAAGCTTACAGTAGATGGTGAATGCAGACATATTCTTAAGATTACCTAGCTCTATGGTTCCTCCGATCCCGATCAAGGATGCTGCGGTGTGGTAGAGTGGCAGAGGGATGTAAATCACATCATCTTCACATGCACCAAAAGCCCAAAAACCTGCCGCTGCCTTTAGACTCTGGAGGTGAGTGATTACTGCTGCCTTGGGCAGGCCTAAAACACACAGAGCAAACCAAATCAATTGCTATTCCCATTACCCAAACTTTTGATTTTCAGCTTGTAATCCAGAGAGGTTAGCCCCTTTTCCCCAGGAGAAACAAAGTAACACCTGTGTGTTCACACCACACAGATATTCCTGGTTCAAAATCTTGTTCGGCAAGCCTCGGGTGAAATACATCAACTGTACAACTTCCAATACAAGCAAAATATAAAAAATATATTTTTTATTTAAAAAAAGCACACCTGTTGTTCCAGAGGTGAAGATGTAGAGGATGGGGGTTTTAATACTACTGGTGGCTCGTAGCTCTGCTGGCACCGGCTGATCAGATGCAGCGTCAAGCTTGTCCAGCAGGGTGTGCACCAGTGTGTGCTCACTATGGCTCTTCATGACCCACACCTGAATGTTGTCCTCCAGAAGGCTGGGTAGGATGCCATCCAGACAATCCACTAGATCTAGAAGATAGACACATTCCACGTGAGTTGTAATGAATTGCTTTTTAAATTCACTGCCTTTCCTAAACCTTAGTGAACATTTTCAGTTCCTACACCTCACGGTTCAAAGTTACTTTATTGTCATTCTCATCACGTGGAACAAAAATATGTACTCAAGGTCCCAGTTACATCCAAAAGTAGCAATACTATAAACTATAATAAAAGAAACAGTATACAAGGATTTAAGATATATGCTAAACAATAATAATATAATACAGTGTATTAAACTGAACAAGTTTGTAGTGAGCAGATGGGTATGAATACAACAGCTTAAAGACAAGAAATCAGCAGCACGGATACAGAGCAGAGCAAAGTGACAAATCTTCAAAGTGTCATTATAGTGATTTTCCTGATTAGGGACTTAGTCTGTAACAGCATCAGGGTAGAAGCTGTACCTCAGTCTAGTGGTTCTGCACTTAATGCTCCTCAACCTCCTGCCTGAGGGGAGCGGGGCAAAAAGTGTGTGTGCTGGGTGAGTGGGGTCCTTCATGATGCAGGTGGCTCTCTTCCTGCATCTAGAGATGTAGATGTCTGTGATGGTGGGGAGGCAACAGACTTCTGTGCAGCCTTCACCACTCTCTGCAGAACTTCTCTCTCCAGCTGTGCATTAGCTGTGCACCTAACCAAGTATTTTCAATTACTAAACCTAACCGAGTCGTTTCAGTTTTTAAACCTAAATGTGCCATTTGGATTCCTAAAATCGACCCAGGTTTCATTTATTTATGATTATCTACGAGGGATGAAAGGTAAAAGTCAAGTCAAGTCAAGTCATATTTATTTATAGAGCACAATTTAAAACAGATGGACTGTTATCAAAGTGCTTAACACTGAGGGTAACACTGAGAAATAAAAAGCAGTAAGAATATACCTTAAAAAAATTAAAACAACAGTATTAAAATGAAGACATGGAACAAGATATACTAAATCAACTCACACAGTATGAAACGCCAGAGAGAACAGATATGTTTTTAGCCAGGGACCAGGGACCTGCTCGCTGAGAGGCAGCAGCTCTAACAGTTGCACCACCATGCTGCCTCATTCTCCAACCACAAACCCTTATTCTAAAACAACAAAGTCCATGCTCAATAATCCAGGTATAAAATCCAACATTTTTCAGTCAGGTCATCTGGACAGTTTCTTTTTTTTTGTGCCGAAACGTTTCGCCTTCGATCCGGAAGGCTTCATCAGTCAAGGAAACACACAACAAAACTGATTCTTCCTCCAACAGCTTACTCCAAAGTGGGAAAAAAACAGTTCTGCTTGTGATTAGATGGTCTCTTTGGTACGCCCCTCCTCCATTGCCAGCCCTCTTCCTTGTTGAAAGTCTTGTCAAACTGGTTGAAAACAACAAAGTCCACGCTCAATAATCTGTGTATAAAATCCAACATTTTGCAGTCAGGTCATCTGGACAGTTTCTTTTTCTATTTCTTTTTCTTATTCTAAAAATTTGTGCTAATCGTCAATTAAAATCTTAATCTTGTTGTAGTCTTCCTGTGGACCCACTACCTGCAGGAAGGGCCATAAAAGTCGGGTGCATGATGCTATGGGCAGTGGCCGAAGGTGGGGACCTCGGCACTCTGACCCTGGCTTACCAAAGCCGGCTCTTGGGACATGGAATGTAACCTCCCTGGCAGGGAAGGAGCCTGAGCTTGTACGCGAGTTTGAGAGGTATCAACTAGATATAGTTGGGCTCACATTGACGCACATTATGGCCTCTGGAACTGATCTCCTTGAGAGGAGTTGGACCTTATTCCACTCTGGAGTTGTCCATGGTGAGAGGTGTTGAGCTGGTGTGGGTCTACTTGTAGCCCCCCAACTTGGTGCCTGTGTGTTGGAGTTTTCCCCGGTAGATGAGAGGGTGGCTTCTCTTCGCCTTCAGGTGGGGAGATGGGCTCTGACTATTGTTTGTGCCTACGCGCCAAACTGCAGTTCAGAGTATCCGGCCTTCTTGGAGTCATTGCCAGGGGTGCTGGAAGGTGCGCCAGCTGGGGACTCCTTTATTCTGCTGGGGGACTTCAATACCCACGTGGGTAATGACAGTGTGACCTGGAGGGGTGTGATTGGAAGGAATGGCCTCTCTGATCTGAACCCAAGCGGTGTTCTATTGTTGGATGTCTGTGCTAGTCATAGTTTGTCCATAGGTCATATATCGATGATTGACTTCATAGACGTGTCATCTGATTTGCAGCCGTTTGTTTTGGACACTCGGGTGAAGAGAGGAGCTGAGCTGTCAACTGATCTCCACCTGGTAGTGAGTTGGATCAGATAGCGGGGGAAGATGCCGGACAGACCTGGGAGACCCAAACATGTAGTGAGGGTTTGCTGGGAACGCCTGGCAGAAGAACCCGTCAGAGGAATCTTCAACTTACACCTCCGTGAGAGCTTTAATTGCATCCCAGCTGAGGTGGGGGACATTGAGTCTGAGTGGGCCATGTTCTGCACCTCGCTTGTTGAGATAGCCGTCTTGAGCTGCAGCTGCAAGGTTGTCGATGCTTCTCGCGGTAGTCATCCACAAACTCGGTGATGGACACCCCGGGTTAGGGAGGCTGTCAAGTTGAAGAAGGAGTCCTATCGGGCCTTGTTGGTCACTGGGACTGTGGAGGCAGCTGAGGAGTACCGGAGGGCTAAGCGGTGTGCGGCCTTGGCTGTTGTTGATGCAAAAGCTCGGATATGGGAGGAGTTCAGTGAGACCTTGGATAGAGACTCGCGGTCGGCTCCGAGGAGATTCTGGCAAACCATCAGGCGGCTGAGATGGGGAAAGCAGCACTTTACCAACATTGTGTTCAGTGAAGGTTGGGTGCTGTTGACCTCAACCAGTGATGTCGTCGGGAGGTGGAAGGAATATTTCTTAGACCTTCTCAATCCCACCAGCACATCTTCCATGGAGGAAGCTGAGTCGGGGGACTTTGGGGTTGATCTGTTCATAACCGTGGCTGAGGTCGCCGAGGTCGTTAAAAAGCTCCGAGGCGGCAGGGCTCCGGGAGTGGATGAGATTCACCCTGATTTCCTTAAGGCTCTGGATGTTGTGGGGTCGTCTTGGCTGACACGTCTTTGCAAGGTCGCGTGGACATCGGTGGCACTGTGCCAAAAAATCTAGATTCATTCACGCTATCTCTGCCAAAAATTTCCTTTTGAGTGCATGGCTTTCAAATCCAAGACGTCCATCCAAATTAAATTTCTTCTCATCTACTGGCCAACTAAACCAAATCCAAACTTTATTCTAAACGTTTCCAATCCATTCTCTACATTCTGCCCCATTTCTGCAAACATTATGCTTCTCTGTGACCTGAACATCCATGCTGCCATCATGCATCAGAATTTCTCCAGCTTTTGGACTGTTTTAATCTCTGGCAGCATGTAGATGTTCCCACGTACACCCAAAGTCACACTCTGGATCTGGTCATTACAGACTTCATACTGCCTAGCAAGTATCAAGTTTTATTTTTTACCTTTATTTTACCAAGAAAGTAATCCATTGAGATTATTAATCTCTTTTACAAAAGATGCCATTATGCAAATTGCAAACAAGTGCTATCAAGTTTATAACCTGGGTGTCTCCGATCATTTGGCCAGCTCACCTGAACTGCCAAGCCTAACCCTTGGTAAAGATCTTAATTACAAAAAATGAAAACAGCAGGGTGTGCCTGAGAACAGAAATATAAAATCTCTGGTTTAATGGTTCACAAACAAGCCTACTGGTAGGACCAAAAGGCCTATTCCAAGTCCTTGACAGAGGCATGATGACTCTATTTCTCCAACATCACTCAGTGCAACCCAGGAAACTCCAAGCAGCTCTTCTCTACATTTCACTGCCTCCTTGGATCATGCTCTCCCATAAACACCCAACACTCCACTGTTGATCAGTGCAATAATTAAACCATTTTTGCACCAACACCAGCTGAATACACACTGCTCTATCACCTGTTCATCTAAACAGACTGCTGAGCCACAACTCAAGATCTCTCAGCCCCTTTGCTTCTTCTTTCCTGTCTCTCCGTGGGAGATTTTGGATATCAGGAAGATAAAGCCCAGTAAATGTGCCCTTGACCCCCTCCTTTCCATTCTGTTTAAGACAAAAAATGTATTCCATTGGTCACCACTATCATGAATATGTTTCTTCAGTATGGTTCTGTTTCAGCAACAGGTGCAGACAGAAACAGTGTTTATTGTGGTGCAGGATTAATTTTATTGTCCTATGTGTAGAAAAGGGGAGGAGTTGAAAAGTTTGATAGCTACATGGAGGAAGGACTTCCTGTGTCATTCTGTGGAGCACCTCGTTGTCTCAAGTCTACGACTGAAGTTGCTGTGGTAAGAATCCAGTGTGGCATGCAGGGAGTTAGGGTTAGGATTAATGAAACCTTTCCTGAAAAAAAAAACAAACATCTTTGACCTGGAAATTCTAATAAACTACAGACCTATAGCTAATCCCTCATTCTTCTAGAGAAAGTTGTTGCTGTACAGCTAAATGACCACCTCAAATCCAATCAGTTCTTTAATTCAATTCAGTTTATTTATAAAGTGCCAATTCACAACATAAGTTAACATAAGTTACATACATACAACATAAGTTAGCTCAGGACAATAGACAAATACATTCATATAAAAGAGCCTTCAAGGAGAGAGACAGGGAATTATTGAAGAGCACACAGAAGCAACTAAAAGTCAAGATAAGAAACAGCAAGGAGGTGTACAAGAAGAAGCTGGAGAGCAAGCTCCAACAGAACGATATCAGAGAGGTGTGGTCAGGGATGAAACAGATCACAGGCTTCAAGCAGAAGGAGGATCAGAAGGATGGAAACCTGGACAGAGCCAATGAACTGAACACATTCTTCAATAGGTTCAGTTCAGGAACAAGCTCAGCATCCTCCTCTCTTGCCCACAGCCAAACATACATACCACCCTCCATTGACCCAAGGTTGTCCTGTCACACCTCAAATCTTGTATCTACCACCTCAGTCATG